TTGGGGGGTGTCCGGTCGGCTGGGTGAGCCCCCCGGGGTCCCTTCCCCCCTCCCGCCTCCGCCTCTTCCCGCCTCAGCGCTGAGGGCGGAGGGGGAGGGGCGCCCCCAACGGTCGGGCGCGTGGGGTAAAGGGGGGCTCGCGCGCTGCCTGGCCGCGACCCCCAACCCCCACGAACCCACCCCCCCCCCCCACGGGCGGGGAGCCGCCGCGCGTGTCGGAGCGGCGCCGGCCGCGCACCCCACGGCTGAGGGAAGCGCGGCGGTTGAGGCCGGGGGCGCCGCTCCCGTTTTACTCTGCTGGGGTCGTGCGTGTCCCCTCCCACCCCCCCCAACACACACACCGGCGCGGAGGCGGAGCGGGGGGCGCGCCCCTCCGCCGCCCAGGCTGACAGAGGCGAACTCTTCGCGGCGGCAGTGGCGGGAGCCGGCCGGCCGCGGCCCACGGGCGGTGCGGCGGCGGGAGCCCCCGGCTGAGAAGTGTGTGTGCGTGGGGGGGGACACACAGGCACCCCAGGGCGGGCGGGGTTGAGGAGCCCCCTCGCTGACGTTTTTTTTTTTTTTTTTTTTGAAGGCGAACCCCCCGCCCTTCCTTCCCTTCCCCCCCCACCCCACACCGCTCCCTTCGTCCGCTGAAAGTCAGCGAGTAAAACAGCGGACGGGCGCGGGGGGCGCGGCGGCAGCCATTAGGGTTAGTAACACCGGGGCCTCCCCACCCGCCACGCGACGTGGGGGCGCCCCCGCCGGCCTTCTTAAAGCCCCTGAGGCCACGCCCCCCCCGCGTCCCCATTGGCCGGAGAGGCATCCCCCTCCTCCGTCCCCATTGGCTGCGGCGGGGCGAGGGGGCGGGAAGGAGAGAGTGGCGGGAGTTTGGAATGTTCGTCCCCCCCCCCCCTCCCCACCGGGGCTGCACCGCGTGCTCCCGCGCCCCGCCCCGCCCCGCCCCGCCCCGCCCCGCCCCGCCCCGCCCCGCCCCGCCCCTTCCCTGGGGCTGCGGCTGGGACCTGGGAACAACTGGGAGCGACTGGGCTTTAGAGCCACCACTTCAGGGCTGGACTTACAGCCCCAGGCCTGAATTCCAGGCCTTGCCCGTTTCAGTCGAGGACCCCTGGGCGAGGAACTAGGCCCAGAAATTCCCCCCCCCTCTCCCCAAAGCAGCCAGCCCCCCGCACACCCGTGGAAGAGGGTATTTACCTTCACCACCGCCTCTCTTTGCACCAGGGATGCTCTTCCCCCCACGCAACGCCTGCTCGCCCCGGCCACCTCGCGTTCCTGCGGAGCCGTTTTTTGTCTGTTTGCTTTTTGACCCCGAGATTTCCACGGAGAAGCGAGGCGTTTAAAGGCTGCGGGTACAACGGAGGATGAAGCAGTATCGTAGAGCTCTTGGTCTCTCAGACTGTAGCTGTGCATATGCTGTACAACATTAGGTCGTATGTACAACATTACGTACAACATTAGGGTAAAGAACCTCTTTAAAAACATATTTTACACCTATTCAGAACGGTGTATTCATGGACTAAGAAGGAAGTAATTGTGCCAGATGTTATGATTTTTATTGAACTTTCAAAAGGCATGTTATCGGCACAGACTTCCCCCTAGACATGAGCTTCGAGGTAGCTGTAATCTCAGCTTCTTTCCCATTAAGCGTTAAGTGAAATCTGTTATAAAATCGCATGGATTTTTGAAACATTTTCTGTGCACCGTGTTAGGCTCAGCCCCCCTGTATTCCATCACAGTAATCTGCATCCCCTGGAAGGCACTCAGGGAAGTGAGGAGCCTTCAGTCCAAACTGAAAACTTCCTATTAGGAGGAGCACTGACTTTCACTTTTCATGCAGACCGTCTCTTTGCTTAAGGATTAAGCTTAATTCCAGGGATGAGGCTGGAACTACCAGAAAAGACTAGGGTGGAAGTAAATCTTTATGCCAACATCATGATGATTCATTCATGATAGAATTGAAGCAGAGCTTGTCAATCCCTGGTGACTCTATGCCAACATTAGGAGGGTGAAAAAGGTTTCAGGACAAGAAAACCTTTGATTCTGAACCATAATTTCATGTTAAAGAAGGTGGTAAATTCTTTCCACCTCACTAGGATTCTTAGTCACCTCTTCCTTGAGGCTCAGGCACACATAATAGATTTTTCTTTTAAGCCTTGTACAAGCAGCTCCTCAGCTGTGGTGACTTGTGAAGTGCCGCTTTCTTTCAGCATCTGTGTTAGGTGCTCTGTAAGATCACAGCTGTCCAGGTCGAGCCAGAGAACACCACGGGGCAAGAAGCAGCCTTCAGAGTTTGGAATGCTGTGGGTGCCACCGTAAGCGAGGTCCATCGTACAGCCTCTGCTGAGAACTGAAGAGCAGAGTGTGAGCACAGTCCAGGTAGACGCACAGAGCTCGGGTACCTCGTGGTGCTCAGGGAAGAGCTCTGCCATTTTTTCTTGATTAATCAGTGGGTTAAGTGATGCCTCAGCCAGAATCATTGTCTGCTCACTACTTTTCATCTTCAGGCATAGACATTCTTCCCCACAGCCTCCCTGTCTCTCCAGGACATGACAATCCCACGTTCTTTTGGCTACCTACAAACAAACAAAGGAATCAAACAAAATACGGTAGCACCGGCCACTTGGACTCTTCCACCCCAGACTTCATGGCAACACCAGCATCTTCCCTTGGTCAAGGTAGTCTGTTTGGGGGTGTCCCAGGTAAATGACATTAGGGAAAAAAACTTCATGTACATTTAAAATATATGTGTTGTTTTGAAAAAATTCTGTAAAGATATTTGACCCTTTCCCAGGCCGGACAACTTCAGCAGCTGTGAGAGCTGAGACCATTCAGCTCCCTTGAGAAGGTTACAGCATGTGACCTGAACAGGACCTTTCTTCTTTAACTGTGGCTGTCAAGCTATGACTGAAAATATTATAGTATCTCTAATAAACCTACTCATTGGCTAATTTGTATTTTGTGCTTTATTAGTTTATTTGCAATGATTAACATTTAATCCTCGGGGACTGCTGAAGACTTTGCAGGAGCAAAATGGGTATTATGAATATTGGGGCAATGTGCGAGTGGGCAGAGACATGGCTGCAACTTCAACAACCTTTTCACACTGGGTGCTACAGTTGTGCACAGTGGATCTTGTGATCGTGGTGTGCCACTAAGAACACAATTTTCCACATGGACCTGAGAGATGTTGCAAGCATGAAAAGAGCTAATACAGATGCTTATTTTTCCCAAATGACCTTTTGTGACACTTCTTATACACACATCCCTGCAGCTATTGGAAACCTCTGCATGATGACAGCAACAGTGTTAAGAAATCTTGCAGCTGCCACTGCCAAACTCAACAGAATATTGTCGCTGCTTGCTTCCAACTTTCTTGTTCCCCCTTTCCCTTCCCTGTCAGTGCTTTCTTCTGGAGCCTTTCCGATTTAATTTCTCTTGGCTTTTCTTACTTCTCCTCCCACCGGCTGGGGTTTGGCTTGCATTTCCCTTTGCAAAGGATGGCAAAGCTAAGTTCTTTTTTATAGCTCCTTCCAAGATCAGGCATTTCAGTGCCTGGTGTACCAGAAAATCCATGAGGATTAGTCACTTGCTCATTTTCCAAGCTCCAGCTGTAGGGAGAGGCCTGCGGAGGAGACCCTGCCTGATGTAACGCGTGCTGTGTTCAGCTCCCAGCTTGCCTGCACGCTCTCGCTGGCTGCTTTATGATGGTCCTGCCCTGCCCAGCTCAAGCAGCTCCCTTTCTGCTCTTTGCCTGGGGCTGTCTCATTCTGATTTCTGATAAACACACACTGAAACTGCCCTGTTTTGGTCCTTCGGGAGCTGCCAAGCTTTACACCTCTCCCAGGCCGCCCTGCCTCATTTATCCTGCTCATCCCACCTGCATTTACTGATGCCAGCAGGCAGAGATTTCTGTTGTGCTCACATCTTCTCATTTCCCTGGGATTTTCAGCTCCTTTTGTTGGCATTTTTCTCCTTATCTGTGTTTCATTCCCTTCCAGCCCCCATAACCACAGCAGGAGGTGGAGTTGGCAGTGTAAGCAATACTGTTTCAGAATGACGCTTTGCTGTGAAATATTTACAGATATATTTGAAAATCAGTTCGAGTATTCCAAGGAAGATCACAGTATTAGTTCTTCGTTCCCACCGGTGCCGTTATTCCCGGGGAGAAGTGGTGGCCGATGACACCCCTGGAGCACTCCACAGGCTGGGGCAGAGGTGACGTGCTGGCTCTGAGGTGGGAGACGAGAGTCTCGGTGGAGGAGGGCGGCGGGGCGCCCCGGGGGTTGTTTTGGGGGGTTCTGGGTGGTTTTGGGTGGTTCTGAGGGAGTGCGGGGCCCTGGGAGGGCCCGGCCGTGACGGGAGTGAGGGGTGGACGCCATTACAGGGATCGCCGGGGAGCACGTTCAAGCGGCGTTTCCGTAGTGTAGTGGTTATCACGTTCGCCTAACACGCGAAAGGTCCCCGGTTCGAAACCGGGCGGAAACACGCGCCTGGATGGCTTTTTTTTTTTTTTTCCTCCAATTTTTTTATAAATTTCGCTCTCCCAGATTATCTTCTTGAAAGCAACAAACCTGATCCCTGCTGGGCTGCGCACCAGCACCCCCAAACTTCTAAAAACACCTTTTCCCGGGTTCTTTTTTGCCGGAAGCAGCGAGGCGGCGATGCTCCTCAGCGCCGCTGCGGCATTAACAGCAGCGGGCACACGGAGCCCGTTTGCTTCCCCTCGGCCGCCCCAGAACGCCGCGCAGCCCCTACAGGGCGTGACTACAACTCCCGGCACGCACAGCGCCCCCGCCGCCCTAACGGTGGGCCCGGCCGCGGCGCGCTGCATGATGGGAGTTGCAGTCCGACTCTCCCCGACCCTCCCGGGAAACCGTTGGCAGCCCAGACCGCTCCGTTCTATTCAGCGGAGCGGGCTGTAGCCCCGTTCCCGTTTCCCCTTTCGCCGCGCCCCCGCTGCCTTTCCCCTCCTCCTCCTCGCCTCCCTCAGGAGCGGGGTCCCCGGAAGTGCCATCCCGGAAGCGGCGCGCGCGGCGTCATCAGAACATGGCGGCCTGAGGCGGGGGAGCTCCGTCCCTTCCCCTCCGCAGGTGCGCGGGACGCGGCCGGAGCCTCGGGGGCGGCCCCGCCGGTTCCACGAACGGGCCCTCGGGGTGGTGGTGGTGGTGGTGGGGGGGAACACGGGGGGGTGGCGGGGCCGGGCCCCGGGCGAGGGTGGGCTCCGTCCCGTCCCGGCGGCGAGGCCGGGCTGGGGGCGGGCGGCGGCTCCCCGCGCCCCGCTTCCACCCTCAGCGCCCGGGCGGCCCTTCCCGGGGCTCCCCGGCCCCCGCGGCGGGGAGCGCGGCTGAGCCCCGGGGAGCGGCCGCCGGCGGAGCGCGGGTCGGCGAGGGGCTCCTCGGGGCCGGGTTTGACGTGGCGGCTCCTCAGCTCTGACAGGATAATCCTCTCACCTGGGTGCGGGGGTGTACACGTCCCTCTCCCCATCGTCCTGTCTCGGAAATTAGCAGCCCCTCCAAGATAAGAGGGATCCACCCATCTGGCTGTATCCCGTACAAAAGCGCTTCTACACAAACTACCCTGCCGTAATCAGGAGTGGGTTTGAACACGGACTCTTCTGTGATGGTTAACTTGCTCTGTTAAGGAGAAAACAAAATTAAATCTTACACGTAAATCAATTTTTTTTTTTCTTTCCCAGATCAGAACAAAGAGGCTGCAGCTCGTTATCAAAATGCAGTATTCCCATCACTGTGAGCACCTTTTAGAGAGACTGAACAAGCAGCGAGAAGCCGGCTTTCTTTGTGACTGCACTGTTGTTATTGGTGAATTCCAGTTCAAAGCACACAGAAATGTGCTTGCCTCTTTCAGCGAGTACTTCGGTGCATTTTACAGAGATGCATCTGACAATAATGTTGTTTTGGATCAGACTCAAGTGAAAGCTGATGGATTCCAAAAACTCCTGGAATTTATTTACACGGGAAACTTAAACCTTGACAGGTAACGTACGCTCTGAAAGAGGGAAAGAGAATAGGGAAATAAACTTTGTGTTAAGGCAGTACTGGATTTTTTGATCTTTGTAATAAGTTCTGGCGGAACAAACAGTAATGGATATGATACAAATTAACAAGTTGAAGCTCATCTGTTTGTATGTTTTAAAATAGTACCTGACATGTGAGTGCCAAAACAAAGGTAGGTTGTCTGATGTTCCCATGATAGTTTCAGCCTCCCAGTCTTTCTGTCTGGATTGGAAGGGATTAAACATCCTGCGTGATTACCAGGAGAGGGAAAGATGAGTGTATTCGTTCTGAAGTTGGATTATAGGAGTCTGTTTTTGCAGAGAACACACAAGAACTGTGTATGTGGTAGAGACTAAAGTCTGAGGAATGCATGATAGGCACGATTTTAAAAAATAACACTTGTTAGAGTTTGCATGATCTGTTACTTAACATCTTGTATTAGAGCGCTTAAAAGGAGTCACAGGAAGAGTGTTTTCCCCACTTAATGCACTGATTTTTGTGCCCGTTGTGTTGCTTCACATACAGTGAGGGTTCTTTGCAGTGCTTTTATTTTGGCAAAAGAAAGAGATTATCCCTCGTGAGTGAAGCTGAAGTTGGTTACTTAGAAATATGTGGTCCGGGATTTTTATTCCTTTCTCAATGTCTGGTGTCAAATGCAGGTTTAAAAAAATCTTTGTTTTTACTGAAGTCTGAAAACTCATACTCGATAATTTAAGTCTATAGATGCAGGGTGCTGGTTTTTGTTTTAAAATTGGCCTCAAGCATTACCAGCAGTAGACAACTGCACACAGCTATGTGGTGAAGTTAGTGATGGACGCTTTGCAAATGGCGTATGAGCAGAAGTGTGCAGCGTTCTCGGTGGCTGGCTGGGACCGCAGCAGGAGGGTTTCTGGATTCATTCTGAGCAGTTGAGATCTCTGAAGGAAAAGGAAGGTGAATGTACCATCCTCACCCGGGGAGAACTGTTTGCCTGAAGATGACACCTGCAGGGCTGCCCCTCTGTGCCCGTCATCTCGTACTGTATCCCTGCAGGTGACTGCTGCAGTGGTCTGCAAATTCTGTTGTCTCCTGTGATGGTGGGTGTGTGAGTGACACCAAGAAGGGTGTACTTTGAACTCAGAGCTAGTAAAACACAAGTTACTAAAACAGTTGTATTCCTGTACAGAGAGTAATGGTGGCTAGTTACTTATTGTTTAATTACATTTACTGTGTAGTAGATTGTTAAAGTGATGCTGTTTACCATTAATCTCTTTAAAGTGCTGTAAATCCACAAAGGCATTGATGGTACATGTTGCCACCTTGTCCAGGTCATTTTTTTCTAAACCATTAAGGCCTGTGTTGCAGGAACTAAAAATAAAGTGTAGTAGTTTAGATGAGGACTTCCTTGGTGTTAATGCTGTCTGTGCACAGCTGATACAGAATTAAGACCATTTGCAAATTGTTTTATAAAACAAGATTAATACCTGTCTCACAGAAATGCTGAGGTGAATGTGCTGCTTGCAAATTGCTTAAGACTTTTGCCAGAAGGATTATAGAACGGTAGTTTATGCATTTTATTCTCCAGTGTTTTATCCCTTTGTGCTGTGATTTCTGAGCATTTTGGACCTACAACCCCATGTCTAGCCTCACCACCTTACAGTTGGACTTTTAACTTAAAATTCTGCAAACAGCATGTAACTGAAAATAAACTTGTAGTTCTGTGGCTCTGCAGACCCCTCTAGACATGGGCTATCAGTTCAGGAGTAATTGTCGTGCTGGGGCACTACAGCACTAAGGGATCAGATCTTGCTGTATGGGTTCTCAAAGTTACATTTTTTGACAGTGTAACTTTTCTGTAGCTCTGCTGTCTGTGTTTGGTACAGTTGGTACAGAACAGATGTCTGCTTTGTCAAGAATATTGTCACCCAAGTCTTGTTTTCTTGCAGCTGGAATGTTAAAGAGATTCACCAGGCTGCCGACTATCTCAAAGTAGAAGAAGTGGTCACTAAATGCAAAATCAAGATGGAAGACTTTGCTTTTATTGCTAATCCCTCTTCTACAGAGACATCTAGTATCACTGGAAACGTTGAAATGAATCAGCAGACTTGCCTTCTGACTCTCCGAGATTACAACAATCGGGAGAAAGCAGACACTGCTTCTGCAGAGTTACTTCAACCACAGGCAAAGAAAGCGGCTTTAGAAAAGAAATCTCCTCAAACCAAAAAGCGGAAGAAGAATTTCAGCTCCCCCAAAAGCATACAGAATAAATCCATCCAATATCAGAATGATGTGACCCAGAACACATCCATTGAAATGTTTTTAGATGCAAATAAGCTGGCCACGCAGATCACGGAACAGGCTGCCCAAGGCAGCGATAACTCTGAGCTACAGCTGGCATCTGTGGTGGAAAGCGAAATGCTGGCAGCGCAGGACATCCTAGTTCAGACTATTGCTGCAAAACAGAAACGGGAAAAGCCTCAGCAAAGCTGTGCGCTGAAGGAGCACTGTATGTCCAACATAGCCAGTGAAAAGAACGGCTACCAGCTGGAGAGCGCGGGGGAGGAACTCGACCAGAAGTACTCCAAAGCGAAGCCGGTGTGCAACACCTGTGGAAAAGTCTTTTCAGAAGCCAGTAGCCTCCGTCGACATATGAGAATACACAAAGGAGTGAAACCGTACGTGTGTCAGCTTTGTGGGAAGGCATTCACCCAGTGCAATCAGCTGAAAACACATGTAAGGACTCACACAGGTAAGCCGCTGGCCTTGTTTTCATGGGCTGTGGAGACCTGAATACAGGACTAAAAAGATCTTTGCATTCTGACTTCTTCCTCTAGAAATTTTGTCTGCAGCTGGTATGCGTACAGGGATGGTACCTATATCCTGGTAGCATTAAATGTTTCAGCATTTTTCAGTACAAAATTATAGTTTCTACTGTAAGTAGCTAGAGAGGACTTCATTAGTCTGGAAGGACTTGGAAGAGCTGTCTACCCTTTAACTCTGTAGAGTGGTGGAGTGCAAAAACGATTGCCAGTAGAGCATGAAAAACTCACTGCACTTGGTATCAGAATTTCTATTGCTTTTTTTTTTTAAACTCCAAATTCTAATACGTGTTTGAAAACAAAAGTGGGGGGAAAAAGCAATCTTGTGACAAGTAGGTACCTTCTCTCATAGGATCTTGAAAAAGGCAGGGGAGGTGGCTGAGTTATTACAGCATTTGGGATTTTATTTAGTAAAACGTGCAGCTGAAATGTGTGATGGTGTCATGATCTCTGCATTCAGTAACATGACCAGAAGTTTGTGTCATATCAAGAGCTACAGAACAAAGCATCAAAGAGAAATCAGCTATGAACACTTAAACTTTAAGACAACATGTCTGATGTAAAAAGGTCACGAGCAGCAAATTGCTGGAGCCCGGGAAGACGTTTGGGAGAATTACTGTGCTTGTCTTTTCGTATGTTCTTCCCTGGAGCTGGGAGACTTGATGCCAGGTCAGTCCATTCCTCATGCTGACCTGGCGTAGCCGCTGTTCTGCTGTTGCCTTTGCTGTGCTTGGCCAGGTGAGCTGCAGAGGGACCTGGCTGATGTAGTTTTCTTCCTTTTGCGGCTGGCATTCAGAATTCTGAAGTAATGGTGAATCAGATGAAAAAAAAAGACTTACTTTTGCTCTTTTTCCCCTCTGGAAGACTCTGAGCAGAGGCTAGCAGTGGAGCTCTTTCCAGGAAGCTGTGAAGATGTAAAGAGGTGAAGTAGGAGGTGGTGAGGTACAGCTGCAGGAGAACACCTTGCTCTTTCTGTACCCAAGGGAGAGGATTTCACATGTGGTCACTGACTAACCAGAGGTTCATGGGCAAGACGAAGCTTGTGAGCGGTATTCAGGGACAGTTTGCTGGTAGGAACGTCAGCTGCACTTTTTACTTCTGAGGGTATTGTACTGGGAATTTTTGCCTGAGTAGGTAGGGAATTTCACGGTGTTGGTTGCTAGATGGCAGGTTAGATGTCTAATACTTTTTTTTAAAGTTTTTATGTACGCAGTGTACGGAAGAATTGTGGAGTTCTTGGTTTGATTGTGCACTGCCATAGAAATGCAGAGATAGACTCTTTTACACTGTCATCTGAGACTGCAGCGTTGCACGATCCATTACGTGAGACTGTTGACCACTAAGAGAACATGAATAATCAGAGAATTACCTGTAGCATTCTACAGCAGATGCTAACGAGAAATTAGTGAGCACCAGGCTACGTTGCAGACCTGTTGCTGTTTGACAGGCAAGAAAAAGCAGATGATTTACTGGTTGTTCATCTTGAATATTCAGAATCATGAAGAGCCATAACCAGCAAAAAGTTTGAAAATGTAGTAGTAACATTCGTAAAGTAATGTGGGGAAAACAGCACCATTTAAAATATTACCTTTTTTTCCCAGAAGGTAGTGTGTTAAAAAACAGTCTGTTATCTGCTCTGTTCCTGGCATGTTCCACTTCAGCAGACTGATTACGGGATGTTCCAAGATGTTATTTGTAAGAGGTGTTAGAACAGACACCTGAGCTTTGGTCGGGTAGTGGATTGGAAAGCATTCTTACGTAAGTACAGAGAGCACAAGGGTTTTATTTTTCACTAGGGGAGAAGCCATACAAATGTGAACTATGCGACAAAGGCTTTGCTCAGAAGTGCCAGTTAGTGTTCCACAGTCGGATGCATCACGGAGAAGAGAAACCGTACAAATGTGATGTCTGCAACCTGCAGTTTGCAACTTCAAGCAATCTGAAGATTCATGCCAGGTAGGCAAAAGCAAGGTCCTGCAAATGCTTATCCGTGTGTTTAAACAGAATCATTTTACTCCAGTGTGAGCAGGAGTCATACACTCACATCATTTGGTCATTTCTACTCATTTTGAGTTCTCTGTCACGCTGCATAACAGAATAATTACATCTATGCACTTGCTCGTTAAGGAAGCGATTTATGATTTATTTGTGATTTATGAATGTTCCAGCCTACACACTGGTATCCTTATGGCAGTGATGTGGGTTTTGTTTCAGACTGCTTGTAGCACCAAAGAGGAGAGACTTTCTTGGTGGGAAGTGAAACAGAAGAGTTCTCACTGTTCACTGCTCTCTGCATGGGGCTTTTGCGTTTTTGGCAGGAGCAGGAATTATATTCCCTTGTTAGGAATCATTATTTTATCTTCCAGTACAGGGTAGTGCAAAGCGTGCTGAGTGCTCACAGTGCGTGTTACACACGCAGGGCCTGTAGTTCTGCCGTTGAAATCATGGATGTGCTGATTCCCAGAGTCAACAGTAAATTTCGCTCCGCGAAAAACTGGTAACTCAAAACCAGACTTGCAGTTGTGGCGTTATTTTTTCAGTTCACAGAACGTTAGCCCAAGGACCTGTGGGGATAAAGTAGTAATTGAGGAAAGTTACTTAATTGTGGGTGCTGCTTCCCTTTCTGCCAGGAGGTCGCTGATGTCTGTGTGTGTTTGCAGGAAGCACAGCGGCGAGAAGCCCTACGTGTGTGATCGCTGCGGTCAGCGCTTCGCTCAGGCCAGCACGCTCACCTACCACGTGCGTCGGCACACGGGGGAGAAACCTTACGTGTGTGACAGCTGTGGAAAAGCCTTTGCTGTCTCGAGCTCTCTCATCACCCATTCCCGAAAACATACAGGTAAGGGGAGACAGAGCCCTGCGGTGCCGAAGAGGCCTGGCGGGGGAGGACTGGCTGCCTGCAGAGGGGTGGGACATCGACCCAGGAATCTGCAGTTTGAGAGTTACCGCTGGAGATGTCATCCGGTTCCTCTCTCATGTTTTTTTCCCTTTGACTCCAGTTTGGGGAGCTCTTTCTCCCATTGGACATCACCTCTGTTTCATTTTGATTTATTCTTTATGTGTATTCTGGTTTATATATTGAAATAACAAACTCCTTGTGTTTCCTTTAGGAGAGAAGCCATATATCTGTGGCATTTGTGAAAAGAGTTTTATTTCCTCTGGAGAGCTCAATAAACATTTTCGGTCCCATACAGGTCAGTTTCCAGGCAGGCTGCTTCCTGCACCATAAATATTTTACATTTAGCCTTTTGCCTTTAAAATACACTGTATTGTGCTGTACTTGAAAGTAGCGGAGTTCCTTAATTTATGTATATCTGTGTTATCGTAATTTAAAGAAAATGTTGGTGAAATTTTTTTAACTGCCTTTTTCAGACTAATAACTGTGTACCAGCGTGGGTGTTGATGTACGATCATGGCTTTTCTCCTAATCTTTGAGGTTTTTGCTTTATTTTAATCTATTATTCTGGCAACAATTTAATTCTGAATATAGACACACAGAGAAAATAACAGAGTTAGAGTTGTATTTTAAAATACAACGTTGAAATCATTATCCTACATCTCTAACTGTGTTTTCTTTCAATTTCTAACTGCCAAACCAATTTCTTTCAGGTGAAAGACCATTTATCTGTGAAATGTGTGGAAATTCTTACACGGATATCAAAAATCTTAAGAAGCACAAAACGAAAGTTCACACAGGTGAGTTCCTTGTGCGAAGAAAGGTTAAGAAACTACATCAACTGTTTTGTCTTCAGTGCCGAATAACAATTTTTTTTTTGCTCATCCAGGCCTAAAATTGGAAAAGAAAAGATTTTTGTATAGTAGCTCTCTTTAGACCCAAAAGCATCTGCTTTAGAGGTACCCAGACCTCTTGAAGCATAAAGTATGAGCTTTAAAGTAGATTCCAGACAAATCTTCAAGCATTTGTATTGCTATAGCAAACGCATGTTGAGCAACATAGAAGTGGATTGCTGCTGACAAGAATTTCTGTATGTGAATATTTACCTTCTTGTCCTTGTAACTTGTGAGAGCTTCCCACATGAAGGCATAGTCTGAACTGTAGGAAATCTCTTTTATGTCAGAGGAGTATGTCTTTACGAGGGTAGGAACTGAGGTGAACAAGGCATACTGGTTACAAGAATTACTTTACATCTTGAAGGCACAAATTTTTTTAATGTAACTGAAAGATTTTTTTTTTTTTTATATATATATATTATATATATGCAATCAATGTTAATCCAGTCTGAGGTGGATTAGCAAACACACAAGATCAGATAGCTGGCAAAATGCTCCCAGCTGCCAATACTGCTCTAAAAAGACTTAAATGCATTCAATTCCTCTTCTAGATATCAGGTTTTGATTAGGAAGAAATTTGACATCTATTACTTACCTATGGCCCAAAGCACAGAGATGTTCAGGTGGGCAGAGTCTTCCAACACTGGCTCCATACGCCTCCTTATCTGTCCGTCCTTAAGTGTATTAAACCATAATTCCCCTGCCTCTGTCATATGGAAGAAGGAATAACAGGTGTCTCTGCAGATCTGGATTGGGAGGGAGAGGATGAGAGAACAAAGAGTCATACACAGACGCAGCTTGTAATGTCAGAAGCTTGAGAAGGCCCTGGAGGAAGGCAGCAGTGCCGCAGGAAGCCAGGGTGAGGCAAGAGCAGCAGTGAGCGCGGGGAGAGCCCGGCAGAGCCTGGGGGTGAGGGCTGGGAGAGCTGCCAGGGCAGCTCTGTTCGTGTGGAGAGACAGAGGCAGACAGGAGCGTTCCAGCACCCAAATGACAGGGTCCGGAGCACACTTGGATAGAGGAAGGGTGAAATGCCTGATGTGGCTTAATCAGAAAGCCATCCAAGAGCAGCTGCAGACTGCGTTCAAACAGGAAGGCAGCGAGGAATCCATTAGTAGTGATTTCAGTTAAGAATAGAAAATCATTTCTGAAGTGACTGGGTAAAAACTGTAATGGGTCTGGCTGGAATGGAGCTAACAAATGTTTTCTTCCTCAGAAGTTTATGGATAAACGATACTTTGTACACTGCTGTCTCAGTTTAAAGAGGATGCTTGGGCGTGGCTGTGGTTCTTGGATTTTCTGGGGTAGAAAATCTCAAGCAAACCTTCCTAACTGCATTTTTTTCCAAAGTGCCTTTGCTCACTGTGGTGTTAAGGATTTGTTGTCTTCCATACCATGCCATGTAGAGATCAAGTTGGAGTGCATCATTTGTCTAACTGTCATGCCATCAGCAGCAGAGGATGTGATTCTCTGTGCTTACATTGTATTTACAGCTCGCTCTGGCTTCGTGGCACGTGGAAGCCACTGACAGCTCAGCAGCCCAGGCAGCCTTTGACACACCAAGTGCTTGCTTTGACAGTCATTTGAAAGGGAATTGGCAGAATCTGCACATGAGCTTTTGAACATTTCCCTTTTTTTTTTTTTTTTTTTTTCCCCCCCAGGATCTGAAACTTCCCCTGATTCTAATGCACTTGACAATTCTTTCAATGAACAAGAATCCATTCAGAGTCAGAAAAGTCCTTTATCAGAGTCCATAGATGTGAAACCCTCCGAGATGTCTTTAGCACTTCCTCTTCCCATTGGGACTGAAGACCATCAGATGCTGCTTCCTGTGACGGGTGGTCAGTCTCCATCAGAAACATTGCTAAGATCTGCTGTGACTGGATATTCAGAACCTCAGTTTATCTTCTTGCAGCAGTTATACTGACAGTGCAGTACAGAGCCTTCAAGGTAATTTGGTAGTGAACCTGCAGACGTTTGGTAAGATGAACATAAGCAAGCAAGCAGTCACACTTTTTGAATTGGACTTGTTCTTTTTTATTCCTCTGTGTAAAGACACTTGTAAGGCATCTCCATTGTGCAGTGTTTTTGTTCAATTGTGCTAATCTACAATCAGATTTCTATTTGCAATTAACACTAATTTCAAGGAGGCGATTCCTTTCCAGCAACACCTGCCTTAAGAATTCTCCATTAAATATGTTAATGTGTTTTGGAGATCTCCTCCCATATTTCTGCTGATCTGATGTGTCACAATGTCCTTTGAGAGCAGACATTTCAAGCTATATTTGGTAGTTTATTAACCCAGAGGTGTAAGGGGAGAGTAATTTGAATGTCCTAACAAGCTTGTACTCCTGCATTCCAATGTGATGGAAGGTTGGCCAGTGCTCTGGTGAGGGCTTGCAAAGAATTACTGCTGTCTGCCAGAAGCAGCCATCTTCACTTGAAGTATGACCGGAGGGAAAGAGAGTTTTGTGTATATTTTCCTGACAAGGCAAGTAAAGGAGGGTTAATTTTTTTCTGTAGTGTGGCAAGTCACACAGTTCTAATGGCATAGATACTACTGGATATTCTTTCCAAGTCTCTTGGGTTTGTTTTTGTTTTTGTTTTTTTTCCAAAGTGAATCCAGCATTGTTGTATCTCACCCCAGATTTATTCTTCACATCTCTAAAATGCCCTGGTTTTGGCACAAACAGCAACATTTGCTCAAAAGGAGAGGTGGAACACGTGTGTTGTAGATGAGATGAAAAGATGCATTGACTTAATTGTGAGGCATGAATCACAGCTTCATAATCCTTTTTTTACAGTAGTGCTTCTTCTTGTGCTAGTCAGTAGGTACAAAAAAGGAAATAAATCCTGCCCTTCACTGTGAAAATAAGTGAACGCTGCATGAGGAGGCATTAAGGAAGAATACAGCAGAGCAGATTGATATTCTTCCAGGCAAGGTTTAGATAAAGTACGACTGATTTGTTTTAATTGAAGTAATTAGGTATTGCTTTACCTCTCACATCACTTGTCCACAGTAACTGCACAAAACTGGGTATCAAGCAAGACCCATGTAAAGATAGGTTTTATTACTAGCAATGTACATTTTTAAAAAGGAACATTTTTAGTATCTGGGAAGGGTCATTAATTAAAGACTAGATGACAATAGGAGTACTTTTATAGTGCATTTGCCAGTTTGTGTATTAACATAATGTAAGTATTATTTAAGTAATTGTCAAATAGTAAGGAAACAGACACAATACTGTACCAACAATGCATTTAAAGATATTATTTGTTGGTTATTTACTTGGTGCTAGCATTTTATTTCCACTGATGCCTTGTGTCCAGACACTGATAAATGGAAGAGCATAGGAGATACCTCTGAACTGACTCTGTTCTACATGGAGTAATAATTAATCTGCACCTTAATTAAACAGACTTGTGAAAAAATTCTTGGAAGATTTCATTTAAATATTCTGCAAATGCTCCCTTGACTCCTGAGCATAACTATAGATTGATTATTTTATTTTTTCCCTCTTCCAACATGTTTGTACTTGTAAACTAATAGACCTTTTGCTTCTCTGTGTTAATCATCTTATTCTTGATCATATTGTATGCTTTAATATATGGCAGATTTGCTGATAAATTCTACCATGGACAGCAAGGAGTACAGCCATGTTCACCAGGAACATTCTTAGTGCAGGCATCTCTAACTCCATCCACTGGAGCTAGTTATTGCCGTACCTGCCTGACTCTTATTTTTTTTCACTTATCTATAACTACAACATTTATGAACAGCTGATGTCCTTCATAATGCTGGAAAAGGACAATTGGTTTAAGTTCTCTGATGTTGGGTTGTTTTCTGTTTGTTTGGCATTCCTCTTTCCCTCCTCCCTTTTCTTCTTTAGCTTCTGTTATTGATGTAGGATGAAGGATTCCTTAGCCTTGCTGTTTGACTGAAGAACCATAAAGATTGAGATCTTGACTCTGTTAAAAAAACAAACTTTGTGTAGCTTGTCCTAAGGTTCCTCTTTAGGTTCCTCTTTACTTTCTCTCTCAGAAAATAGAGCAGAAGTCTTGGGATAGACATAGGTTTGGTCATGAATATGAAAAAAGAACAATATCATACAACTGACAAATTTCGTATTTAAACAGCTTTGGAAGATAAAACAATGATGTGCTGCTGTTATCTGAGGAAAAGTATCTGAAGATTAACATATCCAGAATAAATGACCACAAGAGAAAACTAGCTCTGGAAAAAAAAAAAAAAAGAAAAAAAAAGAAAATAAAATTAAAATCACATTCCTACATAGAAAATGCATTCCATAACAATGTTTGTTTGGACTGTTTTTATATTTCTAAAATTATAGCTTATTACTGTATTCTTAGATTTCAGACTTTTTTAAAAAATACAGTGCTTAGATTTATACAGGATTTGTTTAGATACTTATAACAGTGACACTTGCTTTATTAGTCATTTAGTTTTCTTTATAGACAAGAAGATAATCATTATTTTTTACAAGACAACAATTTTAACCTTTCTTAATAGAATACACAGGCTCGTAGTTTTGTCTTGGAGCAATAATTTAGTGACCTGCACTCTTGAGTCCCCATCTGAGAGTCTTGATTTTTATCCTCATCTTTCATGAAGATATCTCAGCTGCTGAGGTATGAGCTCTATGAACTGTATTCATTTATTAGAATATAGATTTTAAATATATATATATATATATATATATAAAGATATCAGTAGGTGTGTTCAGGCTGGGTGCTGTAGGACCTGAAGAAGCAGGTCTGTACTGCACCTTTTGCCAGTAGATGCATGGAAAGCAGCTGCACCTCTAATTCCTAGGCTTAAGGGTTCTGAGTTCATTTTGGAGGTACAAGGTTTATAACAGAACTGCAAATTTCTGTAAGGGATTAATATGGGAAAGCATGGAATCTTTTTAGGCAGACATGTTCTTGAGATCTACCTGCAAAAGGAAACAGGGATTTTTAATAATTCCATTAACAGTAATTTAGAGAAAATGACATGATCTGCCATACCGTTGTTTCAGTACCATTTCAGTCAGTTTTGCACTGAAGTTCGTGCAAGTTCTGCCTGAATAGGTTATCTGCATCTAGAAATCTCTGAATTGACTGTTTGGAAATATTTATGTGAGACTAGCTCCTTATATGACAGTTACTTCCAAATTTGTGCCTCTTTGGGCAGAAAGTATGACAACTTTCCTGAATTCACGTGTTTCAAAAAAATTTTGAAGTATGGACAAGTCCCATGTTAAAGATTTCAGGGCTGTGATCTTGGAGAGGCTATCAGTAAGCCTTGCAGAATTAAGTTCAGATAAGGACTAATAACTGATTTTTTGGTTAAATTATTTTTAAAGTATCCTTCATGTATATACAGTTTTTCCTCTGTTATTTGTATATACCTCAACTCAATTTTATAATCCCCTGGGAAGGGAGGGAATTGTACATATTTAGCCTGAAGTGTTTTATGTTAGACTTTAATAAACTTGCTTTGTAATTTTCCCTCACCTTGTGTCTTCTGTTTATAACTGCAAGGGGTAGCAACAAAAGGAGGAGGGAAGCAGTCTAACATAACCACCATCAAACACCCTGGCAGAAGGACGCCCGGTCGCCCTCAGCACAGCTTCCTAACACAGCAAGGACTGCTACATTTTCTTCTTGACAGTAAACACACCTGATTTTTCTCATAGAAGATATTTTGGGTCTGTTCAACCTAGATTAAACAAAAACCTTATTCTAAATACAACCTAGTGTAATGACTCAGGTTATTTTTTTTGCCACTTGTTTTGAGATGTTTGGGGTGAGGGGGTGGGAGGAGTTGTTTGTTTTGGGGTTTTGCTGGATTTTTAGAAAGTGCTTTGAAGATGTACTTTTTATGCTAAAGTAGATACAAATTCTGATCAAGAAATTAACTGAGTATCTTAACTTATTTTTACTAGATTGTTTAATTTTACAGATGGTGATATGGTGGCTGGACTACACAGTAGGACTTAAGGGACTTGCGTTGTACCACTGGCCTCCTGGATCAGTCGTTTTCCTTTAAATTGGGGCAAAAATGCTGCCTTTCAGCAACATACTGTGAGTTCTGGAAGCTGAAACAGTGGTTTACAGAGCAGGATTAGGCTTGCTTTAGCTACTAGAGTAACTTGGAAGCACACGGCAAAAATTTCTAGCCTATGTAAATTCTCTCATTCCAAAGAACACAGAATACATCTTTTAAGAACGTCAAGGTTTGGTTTTCAGAGAAAGGAAAGCAATAAATGTCTCTGGCATAGGCCTTTCTAAGCAATACAGGTTTTTGCACAAATAATTATTTTAGCTTGCAGGAAGCTGTTTATACAAAATTCAGTAGGAATTACGCTGCAGCTCTTTCTTACAAAGGAATATCAAACTCTTAACACATGAGCCAGTTTTATGGATATTGTCAATAATGCAGCGTGGTCTTACGGGCCAGCCTGTTCAGACAGAGTACAAATATTTCAGAAACACACACTAGCACTTTTGAAAGTAGATGCCATTTATCCTGTTATATTTTGTGTATGATGTCATTGCCAGCTTACCATATCTATTAAAATAACTGCTGTTGGTAGAGTTGGGACCAACAGGGTAGATTTGGTTCTCTGTTACCACAGTAGATTAATAAATGTCATTCTTATAAGTAAATTAAGACCTAATTTGGGCAATGAAATTAGCCTGAACTTCGTATACAGGACAAGGGAAAGAAAGATATATGGAAAAAATATACCTCTGTCTGAATCTTGTAATGGTCTTTTTGGCAAGAAATTCTATCATCAGGGTCTCAGTACTGAGAGTGCACTCTTTAGACCATCAGAGTATAACCTGCAATGCTCCAGAGCAGCGGCACTGAGAAAAATACCAATTCTTACAATACAGGCTTACCTAATTATTTCGAAACTCAGGAATTTTCACAGTACGTAGATTCTTCTCAAACTATCACATCGAGTGTATCCTCAACTTCTGTTGTCATTGCTCTGTTCTTCCTGTTTAACAAGTTAAAATATAAGCTCCTCTCTAGTATAGGGTTTTCACAGACATACGGACTCTGTACTTAACAAGATGACTACAGGTTAAGGTGTAGAACAAACATACCTGCTCTGTGGGCTTACCTCTAAGTGCTCTTACAATGGTAAGTGCTTTTTGGAGCAACAGAACCTGACTAATTTGTGTACGAGGGTGGGGGGAATGGAAAAAACCCCATCAAACACCAGAAAACCTCCACATGCAACAACTCTCAGGACCACCGTGGTCATTTCAGCTTGATAAGTGGTACCCATACACCTCCCTCTTTCTACACTACCACTGTGAATAATACAGAGTCACAACAGCAGCAGTTACATTATTGCTTATAGGGTATTATTGCTGAAATTATTTTCTTTTTCCCCTCATGCTTTGATCTTGTCAGTCTTTTGCCTGCACACACCTACATTCATGGATTATGCTGTTACTTTAGATTAATTTTTAACGGGCACAGTTAGACATGCAGAAGACTGCACTGGCAAAAGCCTTTGTACATAACTCTGCTGTGCTATTTGGTGACTTTTTCTGTTTAGGAGCATAGATCTAGTCAATTCTACAGGTATGAGCAGAGCGGGTGGAAAAAGGAAACAAGCTGAGTGATTCCCAAACTTCTACGAATTCTGTATTGAAACCATTAAACAATGTTTAACTACCATTATATGCTTATGTTGTCTTATTCATATGTAGGAGTTGCCACATGACTATAATGATAGAAATCTTTTTAAACAGTTTTCAAGAGACAGGAGGAAATAACGACGCCAAGTTTGGTGGTGTTTTTCATTTGTAGTACAAGAAACAAGTATACGCTGCAAGTTAATCAAAATACCATTTATATCCCAGTAAACTAGGTTCACTAGCTTTAAAGTTCCAGCATTGTAGTAGCTTAGCGCTTAAGTTCATTTAACTAGGTTTAGAAAAAAAGCCACTCTTGGAAAAAGATCAAAAGCATGCAATTACAAAGTAAAAGGGGAGAATATGTAGGGCGCAGTAGCAACAGATGGATTAAACCTCTTGGCTTCCGCAGGAATCTGGGTCGCCAGCGTATCGGATTTGCTGTCAAGCAAAGCCGCTGCCCAGCAGCGGTTCTGGGTGCGAGTTTTTGCCAGGTCACTCTGCCTGGCTGTACTCCAGCCTGCAGCGACGCAGTAACGTTACCTGCAGGCTCCCTGCGACGTGGAAACCTGGCTGCAGAGACCACAGCCCAGGAAGGGCGGCGGCAGCTCTGCCTCCGCGGCAGCCCTGTGGAAGAGGACCCTGTGGTCGTGATGCTCCATCCACGGCTCTGCGGATGCTCTGATTCGGCCCCTGCATCTTTTTTGAACAAGAAGCGCTGGGTAAAAATCCTGATCTGAGGAGGTCTCCTAAATAAATTGGAGTAGTTCAGCTGCTAGGAGTTCAAGCTGTGCATCTGCACCGCTGCAGTCCAAACTCTTCGCGTGCCTCTGGTCAGTGACTGTTTTACTCTCCAGTACTGCCAAGAATACCTTGTGCTGTGGTGAAAATATGTTCCTCTGAGCATGTCATTTCATTAAATTTATCACCTAGGAACCCTGAAACTACAGCTAAGCATGGTAAGGCAAATGAAATAACGTGCAATTGAAATAACTGCAGCAAAATTAATGCATTTTCATATTAATCGGCTCTTAATAGATTGGGCATTAATTAATTAGCAATAGATTTTAAGGTCAGTGGCTTGATATTTTAATGCTACTTCAAGCAGTTTTAGATTCCTCCTAGACTAAAGACCCTGAAGAAACAATATGCAGCAAGTCTGATACTGATACAATCTATTTCACTAGAAACGAGCTAGACAAAGCTCAAGCATATGGAGTGCATCAAGCTGTGACCTTGCTCACAAGTATTCTGAAACAGCTGTAATTGCCAGACTGGCATTAGCATCTTTGCTTGTCACCCCCCCACAACTTGGTGTCCAGTAGTAATGCTTCTGGAGGCCATGGGAGAGCTCTGCAAGGTGAACGTGCCCATCCACTTCATACGGTTCCACATCTGTACAATTAAGTTTCAAGCGGCCCGTCTGAATTAATTCTGAAAATGCCTGAAATTTATAAAACCAAGAATACGACATGCAGTATTCCATTTTGACTGCAGTGAAGGCTCTAGAAGATAACCCACAATAGGACAGTACTTGATCATTTCAGTATGCTGATGTCCAGCAAGCCTCACTACACCACCACATTATAATTATTTTAAAAACCAATAATAAATCAGGTATCTTCACTAATTGCTGTAGTCTTTGCAACGATTGTAAAAACAAATTGGAATAAACAAAATCCAACCCTTTTAGAAGAGTCCAGAAGCAAACACTTACCACACAGGTGGCTTCATCAATTTTGTTCCCCCAGATGTAAATGTAGGAAAGTTCCACGTTTGTTTTCATTGACTCTGAAAGAGCTGTAAGTCCTTTGCCACTTATATTGTTGCTTACTACTGACAACCTAATGAACAGAGAAAATAGTTTTGCAAATGTGTGCCAAACCATGAAATTCCCTTCTCTTAGTTAAAACTAAGAGTTTAACTATGATTTATTATTATATATCATATATGCATATTGACATTTTAGTTTTGTTATTAATAATATAATTATTTATTTGTATCAAGGCCAGTCTTCCTATACATCTTTTTCAGGTTGCTAAAGGCAGTTTGGACTCTGGACTTGTATTATTTCTCAAGGCATTTCCATGATTCGTGCAGCCATGCTGGTCACTATTTAGTTTCTCCAGTGTCAGTGACTTACTGCACAGTGGCCAGGTCTCATCTCTAGTCTGCTTTGAAGCCCAAGCCTTGGCATTTATCCAGGCTAAGCTTTGATGTTTGTGGAGTGGCAGTTATTTTTATATTAGTGAACTTGGAAGGCTTTCAGAGGCACCTAGCAGCCGCCACCTCCTCAGTCTGCTACTTAAAACTAATGGCTTCAGGTAACACCTTTGATCAGCTTTTACATCCTGCCGGTGCATGGTTTAATGCAGGCTACAAAATACACCCTGATGGAGAGATTACAGCTCTTTTGGGTTCACCCGGAAGCTAACTTACAGAGAGGATTTTCTGAAGTGTCGGAGATCAGAATCAACAAATACAGTGCCTTATCCCTGCACGGAACCTGATTATCTTAAAATTCTGAAAACATACAGCTCTCGTCTGTTTTCATTCATGCGCCACAGGGACCTTGGCCTTAAAGATGCAGAAAGAACTAACAAGATCTAATTGCTTTTCTCCCTACACGCCGCCCCCCCCCCCACCTTTAGAACGACTGTAAAAGCTGTGAATTGCACGCAAGATGAACCACTACGAAACTGATCTAAGTGTCAACCCCCAAAAACCCTGAAATAAAAGAACAAGCATAAGTCAGGCCACACAGTAATGGATACAAGATGAAAATAAGGAAGTATGAGAAAAAAGGGGATAAAATGAGTTACGGGTACAGCTGGCAGCACGGGAAGGTGAACACAAGGTGGTAGCACGTGGGACTGAATGGCATGTCTCAGCTGGGTGTTTTACTCCTTTAGCTCCCATGAGGGACTTAGTTCAGCTGCCGAATCACAGGTCCCCTGTGCTGTCTGACTCGCGTTGGTATGTCCTGCCCCGTCACCAGCTGTGGGGCTCTGGGAGGACCTGTGGCTCACCTCCTGCACCGAGGATGGCTCACAGGTCTTGAGGCATCTCCCACAGCAGGAGACACCTCTGCTTAGCAAAGGAATCCCACCCGAACTGTCACTTCACAATTTTTTTTCCCTGCCCGAGAGAAGGAAAAAGTAGACCAAAAAGTTTGGAACTTCCTGACTTTTCTGTTTTGATCAACGTCAAAGCACACAGCTTTGATGTCAGTTCAGCCACTGCAAAATCCGAGTTTCTTATACTCTGAGTCATTAAACCTGCAGTCTCTGGGGAAGTTGTGTAAATACTAACGCCTGCAGAGTCCTGTTGTACAAAGCCAAGGCTTCACTCAGGTAGATGGCTCCGTCATCTTCTATTCGGTTTGCATTAAGATCTAGGATTTCCAGGGTTTGGTTCTGTTTTAGTAGCTCTCCCAAAAACTTTACACCGTCATGGGTTATTTTATTACTGAAAGAGAGATGCACACATTTTTTTCAAAGAGGTGCTAAGAAAATGAGTTTCTAATGTTAGTCAGGCCTATGTCACTGAATAGCTCTTACCAGCTAAGATCAAGGTATTTCAGGCTGGAGTTTTCATACAGTGCCTCACACAGTCGCTCTACACCAAAGTTTTTCATTTCATGCTTGCACAAGTGTAGTTCCACAAGAGAAGAGTTACTTTTCAACATCAGAGCTACATGAACCGTGGCCTCTTCCTAAAAAATAAAAATTATTAAGCTGTACTTTAGGATAAGATATGGTCTTGCTTCAGTAAAAGGGAGATACACAACTAACAGCAAGCTTTGGTCATCAGCAGGGTTCTATTTTGTATGTTGTATTAAAAATAGTAATAAAAATTATAATAAAGCTGAAAATAAAACAGATGAAAAGCACCAGAAAGATATTTGCAGATTTACAGTACTATATACATCTCTGCAAATATCAGGAGCATCAATGTTTGAATCATTATGTCTAATCAGTTTTCCTCCCAGTCTTTGCTCTTAAAAAACTGAATGTTTGAGTCAATCTTCACTAACACTGAAAGTATTTTGTCGTGATGCTAATGCATTATTTCATAAAAAGAAACAGGATTTCTATGGGAAAAAATATATCTTGGCACTGTAAGACTAAGTTCATTCTGAAGTTGTCACGTTTAGTAAACAAAAATAACTGAGTAAATACTGTGAGTCAAAAATTAGGCAACAACCCAGAGGTCTCAGAAAATGATGGAGTTGAAGGTGGGAGCAATGGCAAATAGCGTCCAACAGATACAGACCAGGCCCTTACTGGCCTATATTTTCAATAGCAGTAGTTTAAATTGACTTCTGAAACTGGGTTTAGGCAGATCAAGCCCTGTCTGATGAGAAAAGAAAGTAGTGAAATCTGTTTAAACTGTTAAATTCAGCTTTGGGAATTTAGAAAGATCTGTCCTTCATGACGGGTTGATTTCATTACCCTGCCATCAGGAAAATACTGTACCTATCACAGACACCTGACAACTGCAGCCGGTGGGGTGAAACCACTGCCTCAACCAGCTGGATAGCCAAAACTTTAGCAGGACCAGCCCTGCCCAGGAGCTGCATCCCTGCAAGCAGAAGCCCCCCCAGCTATGTGTGCCCTGTACACACTGAGTGGCCTGTCCCCAGCAGACATTGCCTTGCAGATTTTATTTTCAGTGCTCAATTGTTTTGGAAGGTTTGTGTCTTTCTTTCGGCTAACAAATGCATCATAGGTTTTACACTGATGAGGTTCATTCACTTGTTAAATACATGCTTCAAGTTCACCCAGTGAAACAACAAAACCACCCAGCCCAGGGAATATGGCATATTGCTGAAGTGTGCCTTTCTCCTCGAGCCTGTGGACTCTGGCAATTGCCCATGTATGGCACTGCTCAGATAAACAGCAGTCATTTGTTCTTCCCCTCATTTCCTGCTAAACAACATTTCTCCTTCAGTTTTCTGAACAAGGCATGAAACTCTCCATGCTGTAACAGCAGAAGGAATACATGGTTCTCCAATACCAAGCCCTCTCCATTAGCCTGCTATTTAATAAATGCATATGTACCAACAAAGAAATTTTTAAAAAATTAAAACCTTCTAGTTAAACAGGGGTGGTCTGTGACTGCACAAAACTTGGCACAGAAAGAGAAAAAGAATAATTCTGCAACCATTTATTGCACTTTGTAAGGAATCCCAGAGTGCTGTGTAGTTCAGATGTCCATAAATACATCAGTACTGACTTTACTTATGCTTCAGTCTTTGACTGAGCTGACACTACAGTTTACTTACATACCTCTTGGCTGTACAGTAAAGGACGATTTAGGTTTATTGCTTTGACTGATCTGTTCCGAGTCAGGGCTGTTGCTATTGCTATTAGACACTGCATACCCTGAAAATGAAAATAAATACTCTTTAGAGAAACCTGTTCAGTGTATAGATCAAGCTACCAAATTACCATGACTTCTTAGAATTGATTGTCAGAAGATCAAAAACATCAAATGGGCTCAGATTGGAAATGCTATTATTTCTGCTTCCATGTACTCTGGAGAGATGCAAGTGCAATAAGCAAGTGCTTACAGACACGATGTATTTTCTGGTAATATCTATGCCAATTCTCTATGGAATAATTGAGTGGAATTAGACTAAAATGTACAAATGACCAGGAAATTTGGCAACTCAGAAAATAAAAAGCAAGACTAATACTTGTCCATTTAATTGATCCTGTATTTTGATTTTCCTGATTTATGAGTGAAAATCAACTTGTATGTGTTCCTTAGGGTCTTTGGTGAAAGTCTTAGGTGACATTTATCCACTAGGTAAATACATACTGAATGTGAATGAGTGTGATACAGAGTAGTTAGAGTCTAGAATACAGGCTGGTTCAGATTTTGGTTCTTGTTTGCTCACTAATTTATATTCATGTTATTTTCCAATTAGGCTGGTTTACACCCAAAGCTATTTCATTTTAAATCAGTTTTCTATCAACTCCCTACCAAGCATAAACATATTAAGCTTTCAAATAAATCCTACACTTTCCATGTTTATGTTTTTGTAACACTTCACAGTTTCTGAGATGTATTCCCCCTTCTAGTTTAGAAGCAAAATCTGTAATTCCAGGAAACAAATAGAGCAACATTCTCATCTGACCCCAGCTCTCTCCCTGCCTCCAGGTAACGGTCATAACTGTTAGGTTACAGTCAGACTTACTCCTTCTGTCCAACATACACTTCATTATCCCCTGAAAAGACAAACACCCTTAACAGGACAGCTGAGAGTGGTGCATCTTAATTTCACTTCTAGCTTGGTGAGAGCATTCTCCTGGAGGGCAAGATACAGGGCCAAATTCTCCCAGGCAGGGGGAAGAACCACTTCCACCTTCCCGCCCTTCTGGTGGGATCACACAAGGCCACATCATCAGTCAGGCACTGGGACTTTGCACCAGGAGCAGGTTCATGGCTCCAATGGCTACCTCCTGCTGTACCCCCACAGGTTTTTAAAAGCCATCCACAGGATTTTACTGGCTGGAGTGGGAAGTGCCCTGCTTAGCGCACTGACCCATTTCTACCCTCCTGACTCTCCCTGTGCACTGTGGAAGAAGTCTCAGTGCCTAACTCCAGGAGGCAGCAAGTTATCTAAAACCAAATTAGGTGCCTTTCTACTCAATTCAGCACTGTTGTGCCTATGTCCTTTACGGGTGGAGCTCTGATAGGAGCAAAAGAGCTGTGGGATTGGGTGACTCAGGCATTATGGCACTGCACACTTTATTAGGAAAAGAGCCTCCAGGGAATAAGAAGTCATTTCTTCAACATGAATTACACAGAATTTAGCATAACAAAAACAAACAGCAGAAACAAACCTTGGAAAATGCAAAAGTCAAGCACCTGAATTCCCAGGGGGACAGTGGCTCTAATATATCAGCAGTTATGATTTCACATGCGGTTTATGCAACATGCCTTTCCAAGTATGTCTTGCAATATTATATATTGTGTTACCTCTAGCTATCACAAAATGTAAAATCAGTGACAACTGATGGCATTTCTCCCTAACTAAGTACTGCAGGACCTTTGTAAAACCCTTGAAAGGCTTACGTCATTGCTGATAATTTTAGTGGGTTACTCACGATATCACAGTCTCCAAGATCCAGCTTCTCTAAGGTCGAATTAATTTGTAGCATTGAAGCAAAGAACATTCCACCTTTGTTTCCTATTTTGTTTCCAGTCATTCTCAAATACACAAGAGTTTCATTCCTCTAGGCAAAATAAGAATTAAAAAAAAAATAATTCCTTTAAAATGGCCTAAAAAACAACACTGTCCTTTCTCCTGTGAATCTTGCTGGTTATCACACAAAGACAAAACAACCCTCTAGAAGAATTGTGTTTAAGTGATAACACTGAGCAGCTGGCTCTGTGTGTGTGGCAAGGGTTTTGGGGAGTGGGGAAGGGGCTACAGGGGTGGCCCCTATGAGAAGCTTCTCGAAGCTCCCCTGGCTCCAAATCTGACCCCACTCTGTACTAAGGCCCAGCCAATTAGCCAAATTTCACACTCATAAAAATAATCCAGCCAGATATTTCCACCTAAATTGGCAGCTGAAATACAAATTATATCAAAACTGATTTAAATCTAGTAAGTGTATTTTAAACAGCAATATAATTTGCTATTTTTCATAGTCTTTTAAATCACACGGCCAGCCGAAGCTCAGTAAAGCCATGTCACCTTCAGTAGAACTACTTGGTGCAGAGTGAAACCAGTGTGTAAGTCTTTGCTGAACTCGAGACTTCACTGGCAATATAAAGTTCTGATCAGAGATCTAGAAAAGTCAGCATCTTTCCCCTTGCCCTCCACAGAATTTTAATGGATATGAAATAGCTTTTTGACTGTTAAAGCCCTAAATGCAATGCAGAGTAGTTTTGAATTTTAATTCTTCGGTACCACTGTAATCACTCACTACCAGAGATTATGACTGATTAAATAAGAGATTACAAAACAAATAGTTGTGTGAGCAGCAGAATTAATGAAGCCTGGTTTCCTACCACTTCTATGTCTTCCACATGTCCCCAGTACCCCTTCCCCTGTTGCAATACTTCTCTACAGCATCTCCTTCCCTCTCTCTCCCTCAATAACCCAGCCCCTTCACCCCCGGATCCTGCACCCGCCTGCTCAGCAAACGCTGACATGGAGCTGCACAAATAACTTTGGGGGTTGTTTGCAAGCCCAGTGTTGTACAACCTATCGTACAGCCGTAGCGTTTTGGAGGCCTGTCAAATTTAGTTGAAATTAATTCTGAGTTCAAAGACTATGAAGGAAGAAGAAAGAGCTCACGAGTCTCATTTCACAAACACAACAAATCTTACATGCAAGCCTCATTTCCTTGGGAAACCACATTAAAAATAACAGACATGTTTTTATGCTGCTGCTGTAAGGCAAAGTTTTGAAAACATGTCTCAGACATCTTGAGTCAAGACAAACACTGACATCAAGGCACAGGCAAATTTAATACAACTTTAAAAAAAAAAAAAGAGAAAACTTGATGACATTATATATCCTGTAGTGTAGCATTTTTCACACAGAAAGATCCAGATGTGATAGTTGTGATAATTAAGTGTTAATGGCAGCACAGTGCAACTTTCTCTTGTGTGAAATCTGATTTCTGGTCTGCCTTGGGAAAACAAGCAGCCCCAGTGATACAGCAAAATGCTGAATGGACTGAAGACAGAGGGTCCTTTCAGCCAGCTCTGATGTTGGCAGGACAGCTAGTACTGTTCATCAAAAGCAAAAATATCAGACTAGATGCCATTGTCTAAATCTCCCAGACAAATACTCACATGGAGTGCTCCTGCTATCTGTTCTGCTCCACTTGTGCCAATATCATTAAACATCAGGTTAAGGTACCGCAGAGCAGAGTATTCCTTAGGAACAAACAAAGCAGAAAGCAATGAGACTTTTTTCTAGACCATGCCTGCAGTTTTCAAACAGGAGATATGTCATACATGTACTTAAAACCTCTGTCCTTCACTGTATTTCCTAATTTGGAGAATTAGTTAAAGAATGCCAAAGTACGTCAGATGACAATGGTAAGGCAGAAAACCATGTAGTGTGTAGGTCCTCATGGGGCTTACAGAATCCACCTAGGAACCTGTGATCTCAGCATGACCAAATGAGGCAAGCAGTCAAGTTTAGATGCTGACCTTCAGGCATTTTGTGAATTTAATGGGCTTCCCTGAGCTCCAGGAACACAGGCACTGAGTGGCAACTCACCATTTTCCATCTGTATTTCAGTGCTTACAATGACAGAAAGGCAGCATTAAGGTTTCCCATGTTCAGACCTACAAAAAAAAACTAATTGAGATGATAAAGTATCTAAAACAAAGGACCTGGCACACTTGACACTACCATTACCTCCTCTGTTGAACTGAACTGTAAAACTAAAAGCCCTGCAGTTTATTCCGCCATTCTCTTTTCATGACACTTTAGACAAATGTTCAATGGCTTTCTACCAGAAATTAAAAATCTCCCCAGAGAATACAATCTGAGATTCTAGTGGGATGGATTTTGGATGTGAAAGTCAAAATGAATGGAATTTTGCCAAACCAATGCATTCCTGTCTCCAGTTTACCACAGATAAATATTGTCATAGCCAAATAAATTACAAGTTGCTGAATGATAAACATCATTTTGGCACCTGGAGGAATGTTGCCATGTGCTTTGCTCCAGTATCAGTCAATGTATTGCACCTAAGATCCAAACCTGGAAAAGATGAAGAATGAAGAATGTGACAGATATGTACCTACGATTAACTGATGTCTAAAGAAAAATAAATAAATATGAACTAAGGCTGAAATAAAGACTGCTTATGTTTTCTTATATTAGCATAGCAATATCAAACATACATGAAAAAAGCTTACCTGTGACAAATGCAGTATTGAGTAAGACAGAGGCAAGAACTTGAAGATCATCACCTGTAACTCTCTGCACAGGCACTAGATGATTATTTCCAGCTATTTTTAAAGTGATCCCTTTTGTCCATTTGCTGTAACATAAACACATAAACACATGGGGAGAAGTAAAAGGAAGCAAAATGATTTTTCTCCAGATGAGAAGTGTATCCATGTTTGCTCTCATTGATGCGTTTGCATGCAGTTAGCTGCATGTTACCATTTTTACCATGACAGACAACGTGATTCAAGCTGTACCTCAGCAACATCTTTTTTGATATTCTGAAGACATTGCACAGCTGCAAGACCATGCTTTGAATATATGCACAGAAAGCAGGAAGAAGCAAGATGAGGGTAAGGCAGATGGAAATAAAGACTATCCTAGACATTACTTCATCACCTCCTTTTTACTCTCTCCCTTTCCTTTATTTACTCTATCCTGCCCTCAGGATCAAAACCTTACAGAAACCATTTCCCTACACTGTATTTTCTCAGGTTTTCTCTCCAAAGGACATTTAACTTTGACCCCAGGAGCATCCATGAGAGGAAGTCCTACCCAGCCACATAATGAGACAGAGTTTGAGCGGGTAACACCTTGGCAGGATTCAGAGACAGTTCAGGGAAGCATTACAAGCTGGAAGTTAACTGGATGCAGCTGAGGATTTTAAACAGGAGGGAGACAAAAGGAAGGGAGTTAGGAAGACTAGACACTGGGTTTGGCTTCTTTAAGGGACACAAAGGCACCATCCTGTACATTTTTCACTTCTTTTGATTTCACTGTTTGTAAAGCTGCCTAGGAGGGATATATAGCTACAAACTTCTGCCAAGATGATGTCAAGATGAGTCAAACCAGAACTTCAGCAGTAAATGCAAAATATGATTTGTGTCTATGCCTGAAACTACATAAACTTTCTCACTGTTTGATTCCTTGTCCTGCTATCTTGTTTAAGGATTTCAGAAGCATCTGAAACATGTTGCTTGTTATTTCCTTACATTTTATCATTTTTATCAACTTCTTGAAGCACATGAGAAATGAAAGGGTTTTCAGGTTGGCCCAAGTTTTTGCAAGCCCGCACATAGTGCCGGTGAAGATCTGGATGAACTGACATGACCTGCTGGAAAACAAAGCAAAGCGTTACTGCATTGTTAAGGCAGCCTAGCAACATCACCATGGACCCAAGCGCTGTTGGCTGGGAACTGCATAACTACAAAAATGGGTTTGGGCTGAAAAGGGTTACAACTCTTGGTATGCAACACAAGAATAACAGATAGATACAGACAGACGGGAAAAGCATGAGGAAAAAATGTGGATTTGTGGGTGTGTTTCTCATCGCATAGGATGTAAGCTAACAGAGAAATAATATTCATACAGGCAGGTCGTTTCTGCATATAAAGCAGTTGGGCGCCCAACCTCCGCAGGCCTACCTGAGCGATCAACGCCTCCACCTTCTCCCCGCATCAACCCGCCGCGGCCGGCCCACGGGCGAGCTCCGTCCCACAGCTGAACCAGGCTCTGCCAAGGTTAATAATGTTTGGTAATGGAGCTTGGTTTCCAAGGAGGGTGTCCCCGGCCCTCCACCAAGGCGGCCGGGCCCAGCCCAGGGCCTGGCAGGAGGCCCCACGGCCACCCCACCCCTGCGCGGCACTGGGCCCTCCCCACGGCGGAGGCCTGGCCTCATCCGTGGGGAGGGGAGCGGAGTTTCAGCAGCTCACCCCCAGAGTGTTTACTTAGTGGTCTGCCTGCGGTCTCCAAGGAGCCTGTGCAAAAATTTCCGTGGTTACAGGGATTAGTTACTTCAAAAGGCACTCGTGCTAGTCCTTTCCACCGAATAAATCCTTCTAGTGACTTCGCTACTGCCCTTGTATGCAGGAGGGGGTGGGCTGGGGTTGCACGCTCTCCTGTCCGACAGTGTGTGGAGCTCACACCCGAGTACTGAACTCAGAGCCAATAAAAGAGAAAATACCTTCAAGCAACAGCTAAATTAGTCTGGAAAACCCAGCATAGGTCTCTCCCTGTGGTGGTCACTCAGTTCTTCCTCCTTGTCCTGGTAGCACCTGGAAACCACCCATGTCTGGAAACATGACGTCCTCCTGGAGTGATTATAGCAGTGGAGAACCAGGCATCAGGTGGGAGACGACTGACAGCTGCCTCTTGACCTCCACTTTCCCTCTTACTGTTCCTTAAATGTCAGCTGAGAGGTTTCTTCTGTCCAGACATCAGAGGTCAGTCAGGTAGTTGCCCCTTCTCACCTCTCGCTCTTGATATCAGCAACAGTACAGCTTTGAGGGTATCAAATATCAGATTCACTGGCATCTCTCTAGCTCAGAAACCACTAAGTGTTACAGAAGAAGGTGCCACCTTTTTACAGTAGGACTCTTCCAGTTTTACAATCAGCATAGCTGAAGACAGTACTCAGTCAATGTTTGTAACTATAGGTCTTCAAGACTCAAGGATGTTGCTTTGTCCAGCTCCCCTGACTTCACAAGGTCACCCTCTGAATTTGGCTGTTGGGGCACATCAGGATGCACTGGGATTCAAGCCCATGGTCCTGCTGTATGTGCTACAGGATTTGATCTCAATGAACACAAGCAGCTTTTTGCGGGCATGCAACTGAGACTAGAACCTGTCCCTAAATGCTGGATTCTGCCAGTTTATCCATTTAGCATAAGAAGGTTTCTGAGCACTGTTGATTTTTAATTATTTTCTCTTCTGAAATTAAAAATAAGGAGCACAGATGCCTGAGTCTCAACAGTAGCCAGGAAGCCAGTGGAGGGGGTACTCATTGCCCCAAAGCTGACTCTGCTGGTTTTGAGGATGACTATGATCAGACTGCACAAGAAATACCAGTAAATGAAGTACCAGAGAATGAAGGTCTTCCTCCCACATGTCACAGACAGGATATTTTTCATTGATTTATCCAACGTGCAACTGTGAGCCATCTCACCAAGGGTCTTGAGTTTAGAATATCTGGAAGAGCTGCACAGAGACATTCATCGGCTGAGGCACACGATGGTCCTCTTGTATCAGAATCACATATAGGACATATGCAAAGAACTGAGGGAGTTGAAATGTCTTCTGAGCTTAGATTTAAGCAACAGTCCAAGGTCTGAGTGAAAACTGCTTTGATGATATTTCTAAAGGAATATGCACTATGAAAAATGTGGAAGTACTGGTCCTGGAAGACAATCAGATGCAGGAGGTATTTGGGTTTTTTTTTTTGTTTGTTTGTTTGTTTGTTTTTTCATTTTATTGGTACCTCCCTTTTGCAAAATCTAAGCTCTTCATTACAAATGAGTGCCATCTTTCCCTACTACAGTAAGACAGCATGTTCCACCTGTTGTGCACCTGAGCCTGGGTTACTCGTTATCACTGACATCTGAGTATTCAGGCAGAGGGAGAATAGCAAGAACATGGATACACTGACCTTTTTGTTGAACTGTAAAGATGAAATACTGACTGGCAGGATCACTTCAGGTTTTTTGTGTCTTTTTTTCTGTGTGCACTGGAAAATAAGAGCTGCATTTGCGTAGAATCAATACATCACAAACTGAAACAGAGCAGAGGGAAATTTAAAAATGAATGTGATATTGTTAATGCCTTTAACACCATTAACATGTGCTGTTCATCTGATAATGGAAAATTATGTGCCCTACAGCTGTATTATTATAAGGGTAATAGTATTCATGGATATACTAATTTCAGGGCTCAGAATACACCTTCCTTTTTATATCATGCAACACTTCTTTTCCAAGGAAATTTTCACTTGTGCAATTTTCTTCTTGAAGGTTACATTTACAGAAGTAGTAATTTATGCAAAAGAATTGCTTTCAGATTTCATTCATTTAAATTACTCTCCCCTGCACTGTGCATACAAAGAAAATGAAGAAGCAGGCTAATGTTTCTGCTAAGAAATAAAATTAGCCCCCATAAGAAATCCTTCCAGAGAGGAAATAACATGGATTTTTTTGCCAAAGTTTCCACCAAACTATGAGGTATATCATTAACGAGCAGAATACTCTGTGTTCATCCATCAACAGGAGTGCAGCTCCACAGCATTTTCATGGAGATTTTCCCCTAAAAACAAAATCCCAAAGATCACTGTTTAATTGATGTAATGTATCTTTTTAATGAGTGTGTCTAGATACGTGCAGAGGTGAAAGAACTGACAAATTTGATGTGCCTTAGCCAATTCAGTATCTTTCCAAAGCAAATCTTTCTCCTGGAATCATTAGAGAGATTATACCTGGAACAAAATAAAGGTATTAAATTCTCAAGTCTGCCAGAAGATATCAGCAAATTGCAGGTAGGAGCAATAGAAGGGAGAAGATTTTGGTTTGCTGTGGCATGGCACTTCTGTGGACTTCAGCTGCTCTCAAGTGCAGGACTGAAGGTTCTCCTAATCCCTTTAGGTACATGGTGTAGCATCAGGACAGGGCTGTTAGAATAAGAATAATATCAAAACTCAGTGTTTGAAACTCATGTTGTCTCATTGTGTTTAGCAGTCATTCCAATAATTTCTCAGTTTATAAACCTTATTTCTCCATTTCCTGATACTCTCTGTACTTTGATTGTATATCAAGCTCATGAAAAAATCTTTGATTATTAAAACTTATGCACACATATTTTTCCAGAATCTGAAAGAGCTGCATATGGAGAATAATTCTCTGGAGTACCTGCCTGCAACCATCAGCTCATGACCTACTTGAAAATACTGGTCTGTCGTAACAATCTCTTTAAAGAGGTCCCAGACTCTTCATGACAAATAAAAGGTGAAAAATAGTCTTTGTGTTTGTGGTCCCAAGCACACAGGTCTCAGTAAGCTTTTTGGAAGGAGGGAAGGAATGAAGTGCATCGTTCAGCGTTTATCCTGTAATTGTAAGGGAGACAAATAGGGTAACAGCTAGGAACTGGGCGGGTGGGGGAAACACTGTACCCAAGCCAAATGGACAGGAGGTCCTCACCCGTGACCTACCTCAACCTCAGGGTCTGGGGAAAAAGATGTTTCCCAGAGCTCTGCTCAAAGCAGAGCCACTGATGTGAGAAGACCCACTGGATCAGCACCAGTGACTCCAGGATGGTGGTGTGGAACTGGCTCCCTGGGGATGCTCTCCAGCCTAGTCTTCCCATCTTCCCCAGTTCTCTGTTGCGTCTCTGTGTGGCTGAGTTCACTAGCACTGTTGGTGTGCCAGTTTGCAGGACTTTTGAAAGCTGAATTTAGCCACCTGGCTGCCAGGTGAATAGTCTTCACCTAGTGAAGTAAATGTTTTGCTAGGACAGCCTGAGTCCCATCCTTCTATATTTGGAAGCAGACACTTTTGAATTCTAAGCACTCCAGTGAGGTGTTCAATACACACATTGATTACATGCACAGACTGAATTGTTTGTGCCTTATCCATCTGCTGTTTATGGGAAGCACACAGGAATGCTCCACATCATTCCTGTTCTTTGTGCTGCAGCTGTTTGCTTTTGTGTATTCAGGTGTGCAAAAATTGCTCATTCAGAACAATCACCTGTCCCAGCTGCCTGAGGATTTGGCCAGTCTTCAGCAGCTGGAGCTGGTCCTTGTGGATGGGAACCCTATGACAGGTTCTCCAATTGAAGTGTGCTCTCAGGGGACACCTGCCATCTGTGAATACTTACAGGAAAAAAGGCATACAAAGGCCATGAACTTAAAGGTAGGGATGTTAACAAAGCCACCATAATATACGTACAAAGCTGTGTTTTCAGTGATAGTTGCTTTGCAGAACAACCTACAGGGCACTCTATGCAACATCAGAAACGTTTTAAACCACCATTTGCATCATATCAGAGCAGTACTTCTATCACTGATCATGTTAAGGTAGGATATAGGGAACCATCAGGAAATACAGCACTGGGTATCATTCAAAAATGTACCAGGTTGTCACTACCCTGCCAGGTTACAGTCAGCAGGCACAGAACAGCCCTCACAACTTGCAAGGGAGCTTTCCTTATTACCTTGTCCAGTGAAAGGGAAACGGTTAGTGTGTCTAAAACCAGGTCAGATCCTTTAAGTCAAGGCATTGTTTAAAGATGAAACTAACTGCAGATGGCATCTTCACACTCTTGCTGACTGTATTTTGACTGCAGAGTTGAAGATTCATTGTGCAAACACATTGAACAAAACACATTTTTTGCGGTTTTGTGGTTTGTTTTGTTTTGTTTGTTTTTTTTTTTTTTTTCCAAAAGAACATCAGTCCGCATTACCAGTGGGCCATGGAATGAATTTGCTCAGAAAAAATAAAGGGCAAGAAGGAAGGAAAGGCAAATCCTCAGTCTTTGATTCTTCTGAATCTAAATTATTTTTCTCTTTCTGTAATTTTTTTGTGAACTACTGTGTTTCTCCCAAACTGGTCTTCTGAATTAAAAGTGACATTTAAAGATGTATACACAGTCATTTACTACTCTAACCAAAGAGTCTGGAGGACCCTTTATTAGTGTCCTCCCTGGTAAGAAAATCCTCTTGAAAAAAAAAAAAAAATCGCAAACAATGTAAAAAAAAAGTCAGGTGGCTGGCAGTCTATCTTAGCTGCAAACAATGTTGTCCAATACAGAATAAAATGTTTTTTGGATACCACAATGTGCCTGGCTTTTTTCATCAAGAACATCCACCAGTAATACTGTTCCATGTGACTGTTTGCTTTTACCCTTTTCCTCCAGGTAACCAGCTTGTTCTTCTCTCTTTTTCAGATCCAATGTTTGTGGTGTCGGTTGATGAACCAGAAGGGGATCGGACATTTCTTGACATTTAAGAATCTAATGAAAGAAAGAAATAAGGAAAAGAGAGGAAAAGAAAAGAGCAAAGAGAAGTCTGTGAAAGGACCAAAAGTCAAAAATTTGTATTTGGGCAGCAAACTGCACAGAGCTCTCTTCATTTACGAGAATGGCAAATATGAGCAAAGGTAAGTGAGTAGGAGACAAGCAATATTAAAGCATTTGAATGAGTAAGAGTTACAATGAAAAGAGGTGATTTGTTGAGGTTTGTTTTTGTGTTTTTCTCAACATTGACTTACACTGAATCAGGCAGATTCTGAAATATTTGAGAGGTCTCATTCAGAATGCATGTTATCTCAAAGCATAAAGGCAGCTGATGAACTGGGAATTAGTCTGATCTGGAGGAATCTGGTGGAATGAATTGTTCTTTGATCTGAATCCCAAAGTATTTTGCATGTAATTCTTAGAAATCTGTTTTCCAGACAGTGAGGTACAGCCATATCTAGAGTGAAACAATATTTGTGGCCCCTCCTACTAGCAGTTATTTAATGAGTTTTACATTTAGAAATTATTAGTACCTTGCTTGGAAATATGGAGGAGGATTCCAGGCACTTCTACCAGAACCTGCATTACCATCCTGTCTTACAGAGGTGTAAAAAGCTGTTTTGAAAGTATCTCTATACTTTTGCAAAACTGTTCACTGATGTTTTGACAATCTGTAGTTATAGTATTTTGAATGACTGCAAGCTGTCAGATCCTTAGTGTTATAACTCATCTCTGAGACAGCTTGGTGACAGTTTGTAAAATGTCTGTGTATGACAGGTTGATTTGAAAACAGAGAGTCTACAGAATGCAATATTCTGCAATGATTCTGGGTCCTGCCATGACATAACACCTTTGTTATTCAAAAGAACCATGACAAACACTCCTTACTATAATTCTAGCATGCCAAATTTATATTCAACCATGTCTTTCCACAGCACTTTACAGATAGTTGTTTGTCCTAGACATCTGATGTCCTTGTCTAATTTTTATTCTCCATTGCTCAGTTTTTCCTTAAACCCTTCCAGAGTTTTATCTGCAGCATACATAAAGCACAGAGTTGGACTAGGACTGGCCACTGTACAGACTCAAAATGCAGGAGTGGGTGGGAGCAGAACCCTTTAGTTTAATTGGCTGGTAAGAACTGCAGTTCTGCTCTCTCTCCCCTTGTCTGAGTTGCCTCAGAGAAGGTGGTGGCATCCCGAAGGAGGTGGTGAAGACAGGGTCACTGATACCCAGCTCTTCCTAGAGCTCCACCTCCAGGTAGTGCTTTCTGAATGCTGCAGCTACATCTGCATCCAGGCTCTGGGTCTTATTTCTATTTGGCTCTTGAATCAATCGATATCGAAATCTCATTAATATGTTTGTTGGCAAGAGAGAGCTGGGAGTGCAGAAAAGTGGGAAGGCTTGGTTCTGATTTTCCATTTTACAATGTAACATGCTGTTTTGATTGTTTAGAGGTTTCTTATGATATTTTTTCATCCTAAGTGAAGGCAAAGAGGAACAGAGAGAAGGATGATTCAGAGACTACCAAGGAGGAAATCAATGGAAGAGAGAGATTTCCAGGAAGACTGGCAGATAGACGGGACATTTAATAGAAGTGATTTAATAAAAGTTTTTTAGTGACACAGTAAGTATGACAAAATTACAAGAGGGCAAAGAACTGAGGAGGAGATTATGAATAGCAAGTGGAGAGGTTGCTAGCAGTGAGTCTGTGCTGTGCTCTGGAGCTGAGAATGAAGAACCCAACTGTGACAAAGCAAGAAACCCCAACACTGATGGCCAGTTCAGTCAGCAAGATTACAACAGATACAGGACATTAAACATGGGCTAGATGATTTACTGAGTTAGAGAGAGAGGTTCAAGTGGGAGAGGAGTGAATCAGGGAGATTGTCACAGAACAAATAAAGGACCCACTTCCCACTTGGTCCAAAGGCAGATTTGAGGAGGAAAGTCACAGGAAGGCAAGTGATTAAAAGAAGAGGTCGGTGCACTGCTGTTAAACAGAAATGATGGTACTTCCACATTAGAATAATTCTCCTGGCCTAAATCACTGCTTAAAAGTCTCTCTCGTTAGTCCTGTATGAAACAGGGGCTCTTTGCTTCATTTCAGATGTTGAGGATCTCTGTAGAAAATAACTGATTCTACACTGCAGCAATTCCCTGCTACCCCTGACCAATACACTCTATCTCACATTTCTCAGAGCTAGGAAATCCAAGTACACTTTTCAAGCAGAACTGAAACTGGAGCTAGGAAGTCCATGGAGACCCTCACATGAAATCATGGATTAAATAATCAAGAGATATCAGCACAGCATGGTCCGCTGCTGGTTACAACTCTGACCAGCCAGAAGTTGATGTTGGAAGGGTCACCCAGGCTGAAAGTGGAATATTGATCTGCATTTGCATGGGAGAACTTGCTGAGAGGTCCTAGCAAGTTAGGAAAGTGCCACTGAATGATCCTGTTGTGCCTCTCCTCCAGGAGGTTGCTGCAGCATGTAGAGATACTCAGAACTAATCGAGCGGTACTTTATCCCTCAAGCTGCCTCGGGATTTCTCTAAGACTCCTCACTCAGTGGGCAGATATAATATCTTTACTTCCTAAAATACTTTACAAAAGAATAATCCCACTGCAGTCTCTGGGATCACATGTGGGCTAACATGCTCTATGACACAAGTGGCTACGCCAGAATTTGGCTCTGTCTAAGACAATACAATAAAATGACAAATAAGAAAATATCAAATAAAAAAAAGAGGAGCCACTTACACATCCCACGTTGGTGCTTTTTCTAACAAGTCTTGGTCCCAGAGCAGGGTGCTGTGCTCCTAGATAGAAGCTGCCCTGTGGCTTTGAATAATAGACTTTGCTTATTTCCTTCACCTTTAGAGTCAGGATAAGAACACTGTCTACATCGTTGTGAAGGTTAATGGATTAATCCCGAGCGCAGGAAACATGAAGGCACTGCAGGGACTCCCACTGGCTTTCATATGCTCTAGAGCAGACTTCTAGATCTGGAAGTCTGGTTTTGTGCTGCGTGTTCTAAAAGGGTCTGTACAGAAAGCACAGTCTGGGTAAGGCTGAAACAGCTCAGGATGAGAAGGAGCATCCCTGAAGTATGCTGAAGTCTTTGTATAGCCTTATCCAGAACACTTATGAATTGTTCTGTATCCAAAATCTTTGCTAAGGTAGCAGAACACATTTTTAATTTAACCTACCTTGCCCCTGAGACCTGCAAAGACACCAATCAACTGTTTCTTACCTTGATTTTAAGCTGATCCCATACAGAGAATTCATCTACACTATGAGATGGCATCAAGGGCCAGAACAAAGGCAGAGCAGCTCCTGTATTCTCCTTACTGGATTAATATATAATCTTGAGTTGGTGGGATGCTTTCCAAATCTCATAATTACGTAGATTTAATGTATTCAACAAAGAGGCAAAAGTTTTTTGGGGAGAAGAAGAAATTTAAAAAATTAAAACATAGAGGTTTCAAGTGTTTTTACATTAGAGGCATTTTCCTTATATACACAAAGCCACATTCACACTGCCCACCCACCAGCATTAGCACACACACCAGCCACTTCCCTCCACGGGCAAACCCGCAGCACGTTCATCTGAAATCATCACGGCTCTTTTGGCAGTAGTCATTGCAGGATTCACAACATGAAGATTAAGTACATATAGTAGCATGAGCATGGCCCAGAGAATCTGAAAGAATATGTTATTAAGTGGAATGATCTACGCACACAGAAGGTTAAATAACAGTTTTCTATAATTGTGGAACTATTTCAAGAGCTCTCATGAGACAAGATTACTAAAAAACTGGGCAGTCTTCTACGTCAGAGACACATAATACTTGGTTCATGTGCTGCTCCTGAAAGGCCTTCCAGAAACCTTCAACCTCCATCAACAGTCAAAACGAATGT